ATTTATAAATCGATGCGAAGAAACGGTTACGATAATCGAGTAAATGGAATATAAAGCACTAGTGGCATAGATAAAAGGTGAAGAAAAAGCAAGGAGGATCAGCTTCTTTACCGTTTTCTCGGGGAATGCGAAAAATCCGAGACTCGGAGATAAGCATCGTTAACTCGATGGAAGACAAATTTGCGCACACCTCGCGCTGCATCACTTCTCTCACTCGCCATGCGCGTATATACTTAATATGGACGTGCACGCGTCGTTCATCTTTCAATGCCCCTCTCTCTCTCTTTCGCTCAAGCACAATGTAAATAAAAATAGCGCGAGAAGACTGGGTGCAGCGCGATGTAACGAGCGAAAATTGCTCATCCGCGATAATCGTTGAAACCCACCGCGTCGCTTCTCGAGACGATTAATCTCTCGATCGCTCTACATTTTGTAACAACAATTGAGTACCCACGGACACGTCCCGAGCTTTCACAATCAAAGAACTTTGAAAAATATGTACGTGAACGCGCGAAAAAATGGCAACATCCTTGGCTGCCCTTGTTGAATTGTTGAAATCCTCGGAATACCAAAGCCTCGGCCTTATAATACATTCGCCGGAGCCTCGTTACATCAATTTGTGTCAGTTATAGTTGTCGATTTCACTGCAAAATAATCGATGTTTTTATCCCGCGTCAATTCATACTCGATAAGAATCACATGGTTGCACCGCTCGCGAGAACGCAGTACCGCGCGAAAGCTCTACAAAGAATATACGTGCTTTAGCAGAGCAAGAACAAAAATATGCTAGATGAAAAAAAAAAAAAAAAAAGACTAGACAACAATCAGGAGAGCGAAGGGTGTACAAAAGAGCAAGCTCTTTAGCGGTGTACACGCGGTTTCTGTGGGACTGAAAAAAAAAAAAAGAAAAGATCCGAGAGCTCCGATACCGCGCAGCGTATAACGTGGTGTATAGGTGCATCACCCATCGGACGGACGACGTTGGCGGCATTCACGTCTCCGCAGAGCGCGCTCCTCCATCATTTTCCCTCTTTTTGCACGCGCTTAGCCAGTGTATGTATATGCGAGAGCAAACACAAGATTTCCAGTTTAGCGTATATTATCCGCACATTATATACATATATGGTGTATGTACGGACGTTGTACGGGGCCTCGCGTGCGCACTAATTATACAAAGTATCGCAGGCCCACGCGCCTCCTCCACCCGCATACGTTCTCTTCTCTCCGCGCACACCGTTCCTTGCCGAACAAGCCGGTCTTTGTGCTTCCCCGTCTTCTCTCGTTTCTGGTGCCTTTGATCGCTCCGTTTCTCTTCTCGTCCCCCCCCCCCCTCACTCGATTCTCGTACCGCTGCAGTTCGACGTCGAAAGATGGTTTGCGTTCGTTGCTGCAAGAGGGTTGGTCGGCCAAATGGGGGTTTTTCAGGATAATAGTGGACAAATATTAATAACAATACCTCAACTGGACAGCTCAGATATTTTTGGGTATATTCTCAATACTGTACGTATAAATTTAACAATATTAACTCATTTTTGAACCCTTACATGTAATGCCACTTAAAACGCCAGTGGATAAGTGATTTTTCGTCAAAACAAGCGGTTACCATTTTTATCCATTTTACCATCACGTAAACTGTATGTCATTTTGAAACAAAAAATGTTTTTGAGTATCGGCTACAACAATAACAGTAAAAGTTTTCACCACTACTGTGTGCGATCAAAAATAATAGTGATGTCTGCGAAAGTAAAATGTATATTTAGATGAAATACTTAATTATGTGTCGGTGCCAAAAAGAATAAGCCTTTGTTTTGCCTCTCGCATTATGGGCATTCATAATAAAAAACACTTGTGGTTTCCCTTTTTTTTTACATTCTGGGTGGGTTACTTTTTTTTTTTTTTTTTTTTTCTTATTATTACTGACATATTTTTGCATGCACTTTCTTTCTCGACACAGTGTTGTCTTATTACGAAGTGGGATGGCTCTAATAATATGCAGCATGAATTTTACGAGAACACGCGAGCTCGTGTATACATATTATTAGTCGAGTTGTTAACAACCCCGATGTTTTTTCGATAATAACGATCTTATTTTCATGATGATACTTCTGAAATTATTTTAATGGCGATGAAACGCAAATTCCAAAACTGAAGTGGTGAAGATTATTTTGTGTCAAAAGATGTCATGAATATGACATGCAGCATGTGTGACGATATGAAAATAATGGGCCAGAATAATGATGCAAAATTATGAATTCGGATGGAAAAAAAGATATCTTTTTTTTTTTTTTTTTTGGCAAAATATAATTAAAAATGATACTTGGTAGGACTGAAAATTGCAAGATATTGCAATTTTATAATAAAAATATATGAGAAGACCTGACACTATTTTCAAGGGTGTGTAATTTAAATTTGAGAAGTTTTTTCTTTTTGTTATTTTAAAATTGGACAACCATAAATTGTTTTTTAATGTATTTTGAATAATAGATCAAAAACTGAATGAAAAAAAAAAAAAAACCTTTCAATTCGTGAAAATCGAATATTGCTAAAAATAACGAATGATTATTTGATTTCACGATATTTCTCCACGAGTAAAACAGACGGTGCACAAAAAATAAATATAATCGTACAAGTATTCCGACACCACTTGTGAGCTGCCTCCAAATGACAAAACGTCCAACGTTCCTCAGCCCAATAACACGTGCGGCATCTTCCGTCCCCTCCCCCCCCCCTCCCCGACCTACTCTTCAACTTTTTCTTTTCACTCCTCCTTTTTTTTCGTACCCCATGTGTCTTTGTACATCCGGCCCTTTTATTTTCCCTCGTCGAGAGGCAGCCCGCCCCTCCTGTTTTATTTTCATTAATTAACGCGGCCCAAGCAAATGCCTGGGATTATTTCGTACGTGATTCTCGATGCGATTTGTTTTCGTGATATTTTTCTTCTCCCTCGTGCGATATTAATCTACCTACTGTTGCTGCTCTTGGACAATTTTTAATATCGCAGTCTTCATTTTCTTTCTTATTTAATATTTTAAAAAACAATTAATTAACATGTAGTTGAAACAATTATTTATCGAATCGTTTTTTACTTTGTTTCAGGTAAGGACTTATATCCAACCATTAACTCGTAACTTGGGTTGTAAGGACATGAAACAAACAATTCTACCTTGCCAAAAAAATAATTATCAGGTAACCACCTACACGCATGTAAACATATGTAACGATGTGCACCAAAGTTGTAAGTCGGAAGATACATTTTAAAAACGCCATTTAATAAGCTGGCTTACCTTCGAGAGTAAATCCCCCATGGTGATACATCGCACCCGAGACAACAATTTTTTAGCCCATTATCCTCCAATCATAGAATTCTTTGGAGGACGTTTTCAATAAACGAAAAGGACCTCTTGTACATCGTATGAATAAAAAAACAAGAATAATAACAACCGAAAGGCAACCACGATCACACGGTGCCCCCTCCACCCCAGCGCAAGCTCTGAAAGTACACGCGAGCACGAACGAGACATGGAAAGAAGGAGCTTAACCGAATAATACAAGCTCTCGAGTGGAGGCTGCCTGGAGAGAGGAAAGCAGGAGGCGTGCGCGTGAAAGGAAAACCCTTTCGTTCCACTCTCGAAAATCCCCCGGAAAGTCATCGTTCCGGCCCCGGACAAAGCCCGACGAGTTGAAAAGCCGGCCAATCTCTCTGTGTGTCTTCCACCTATATAATAATAATAATAATAATAATAATAATAATAATAATAATAATAATAATAATAATAATAATAATAATAATAATAATAATAATAATAATAATGATAATGCACCCTGCGCGGGGTGAAACGTGACATTCGCCGGAAAGCGAAGGGGAAGGAGGAGGAGGTCACGTAACGAGGATCGGCGAGCTTGCGTTTTATCGAGGAGAGGCTGCTCCTTTCGGAAAAGACACGGGATCGAGCTATACGCCGTACCCCTCCACGTGCGTGTATATAGATAGGTACCGGTAATAATAATAGCTCCGGAGGGCGCCTGGCGAGGAAAATGGAAAATCTCGTTCCCATGGAAAGCTTTACAATAATCGTAATAATGATGATGATAATAATTCGCCCGGGACTCGGTGGAGGGTGGGAGGGACTTTCAATGGATGCTCGTAGGGATGTATATATACCGTTGATGGTTCGGTTGCCTTTTCATCGGCCCCGACTGAATGGGCCGAACGAGTTGAGCCATACCCTCTCTCTCTCTCTCTCTTGCTCCTTTTCTCCATCGCTCGCTTTTCTCTTTTCCCGCGGCTCCCGTTCGCTCGCACTCGTTTTGTCTTCCATTACTTACATTTATATATCCCGCGATTGCCGTAGGTTTTCTCTTCTATTTGCGTGAAAGGGAGGAAGTCGTATATACGTATATATAGGTGAATAAAGGAACGAGCTTTTCGGCGTTGGATTCAGTTGCCGAGGAGTTACTGTTGCAAGTTATCTGCAGCACTGCTCTCTCTCTCTCGCTCTCTCTCTCTCTCTCTCTCTCTCTCTCTCTCTCTCTCTCTCTCTCTCTCTCTCTCTCTGTCGCACAAGCGTCTGTACAAACATTTCGTTAGGTAGTTGAAAATCATTGCTATTGCGAGGGGAAAAATGTTTTTTACCAAAAATCTTGCATGCGAAAAAAGAGTTACATTGGTAATTTTTCGACTTACAAATGGGACAATTGACCACACAGGAGCAGGTACAGTTGTTAAGTAGTAAAGGTGTTGTTTTCAATTTTTTTAATGATGATAATCATCGTTCCACTTTATTCCTAAAATTATACAATCTTGACGTATCATTATAAATATTGAATTTAATTACATATAAAATATTACTTTGCTAAGTTGTCGCATGTAATACGTGCATTCTTATACATAATTTCTAAGAAAACTGATGCTTCAAGCACAAAAAAAAAATTTAGCTTTTTCATAATTAATTGATTTTATAAATCTACAGGCACATATTTGAAGTCTTAACATGCAACGTTTACAAAAGTTGTACATTATACTGCACATCTGCTATAGCTGTTAAAATTTTGTCTAAAAGATATGGTTTTGTCATTAATAAACTCCTGTAACCATCTGTTTTTATTACTTCCTTTAAATTCTTTGTTATAAATTTAACTGATGTATCTTTCAATAAGGTAAGGTCATGCAAGTCGGCTAAGATTAAGTAGTTTGCGCAGTTATCTAGTTTTAAATTTTCGTCAAGATTGATCTCACAACACTTTTCCAGAGCTTCAAGCCCATACTTGTCTGCAGCCGCTAAAAGTTCTGTGATTTGGCATTCATCTTCATTAACTATACCTGAATAAATGAAATGTAGTATAGCCTTGAGAGTTTTGCCATTTAAATCTTTGATTTGGATTTTAGACTCTTGTTTTTCTTTCATATCATGCTTAAACATAGCTGCCAAAACTGGGCAACGGGATGATAATACGCACTTGTGAGCTAGAAATTGAGTACCATCGTTTGCCTCTAAAGTAAAGTCGCTAAAGCTACCCTCATTGATAAGAAATTTGTAATCATTTGATAGCTGAATCAACGTATCGTCTGTACCTAATGCAATTAACGTACCACTAACATTTTCATTTTTTTTCCATTTCATCCAACATCTGATTACTAAAGTGTCACCTTCAAGGAGACGCAAAATATGAGTACGTTTACAAAAGTTCTCATGACCATGACCATTTTTTGAAAAGGACATGGAACATGGCAATTTACATCCATCACTTATGCATCTTCCGTTATTACTGTGAAAACTAAATTTCGAAAGTAATGGCATGTTATCCACCTTACTCACATGTCTTAGAAAAATAGACACACGGTTGTTCTGGGAATGAGTACTTCCATAAGGGAACAGCTGGAACCTCAATTTGCAATCGTCTCTACCAGGAATGGAAAATGTCTGAAACCAAAATTTAATAGATCATGTATCGTAAGAAATAATAAACTCTAAAAACATTGATTACTTTTCAATACTTTCTTTCAAAACTAAGAAAAAAAAATTGAAAATAATAATACTTAATGTAGTTTTACAAATTGAGAAAGTTGATGGTTTGCAAATAAAATGCTCAAAACATCTTTCATTTAGATTCTTACTTACACAAATATAATTTTGGTTTGCATCGTTGCTCTAATGCAATGTATTTTATGCAAGATTTTGTGGATGGTAAACATGTCATTATAGATTGAAAAAGTTGTAGTATAATAGAATCAAAAAACATGAAATCAAAGATTATTCCAGATCCTCATTGTCATCAGGTTGTTTTTTTACTTGAGAAAGGTGTAGTTTGTAAAAGTTAAGATATATTTCAGTAATTAACCAATATTATACCTGTGACACTACCAATTCTCCTCGACTGTTTGCACACCGGCTAAAATTATTCACTGTCCATGAAACAATAGCTTCTGGAATTTGTATTTGAATACCCGAGCCGGTTTCCATTGTAAACATAGAGGTATGTACACGTTGTACACGTACTTTCTATAGGTATGTCTGTGGCTTCTACAAAGTAATGCGAGCACTAGTAATGTGTGCTACCAATGAAAACAAAATCAAAAACTTGGACAAGAGTGTTAAAAAACTGAGAACAGATAAAGAACCAGATAAACTATGTGAAACGATGGGAATAAATGAAGAACTGGTGCAAAGAAATGAGCAGCGAAAAGAAAAGAACAAGAACTGGGTAGTTAAGATTGCCGTGCAAAGAGAAGAGTATTGAAAAATTGAAAATTGAAATGGAAGACCCGAGCGTGGAATCCACTGACTTATCATCGCAACAATACTCTGTACTTGATGTGTAAAAATTTGAAAAATTCGTTTGCTACTCAAACTTGCATGTGGCACTTGATTTGTACAGCGTTAGATGATGAAATACATCATAAGGGTATTGATAGATATGAAGAGCTGGTGCATACAGGGTGCGCACCCCAGTCTCTTCTTTTTCTTTTTTTTTACCGATCGGCCTCTTTTCTCTTTTTCGCGATCGAGAGTTCGGTACAGCGACACAAGAGTAGCGCTTGAAAAAACTACCTTGGATGCGCGTAATGAAGGGACGAGGGTGAGGTGTATGGGTTCGCTTCATCTTCTGCACGTGCAATTTGGAACTTTTTTTTGCGCCATACCATGTGCGCTGACTCTTATGTTTTCTTGTCTTTTTTTTTTTTGAGAGAGAGATTCGTAGTATCGCTGATACTGTTCGGATAAAAAATAAAAAATTTTCCGCTCCACCGTCCTGCATGGAAAAAAAAAAAAAAAAGTTATCACGCGCACTCGTTTATTTTTCATTTCTCCAAAAAGGCATCCGTGCACCCCCTCGTCTCAAGCTCGATTCTTCACGACTCTACGAGGAGAATCAAAGATAGCGCAATTGATATAATATAATAGCTTATCCGGGCATCCTGCGAAACCATAGACGCGGTGGGCCATCGCTCAAGAAAGAAAGCTCGGCGATAGCGAGGGCGCGAAAAAGGCGAAAGCTGCCGGAGACTCCCCGAAAAGCTTAACAAGGGGGTTGCGCTTCGCCCACGCATCTGTCAATGGCCTGGTTAATGGGCTCGAGCATTAATCATTGCCGCGCGCCGCCTGTCACCGCCCCTCTTTTTCTCTCTTCCAGGCTTCGCTCGCCGTGCCGCCTAGTTCCACAACCTCCAACCTCCCTCATTGCGCCTAGTATATATACTATAGCTATTTGGATCGGTATTTTGCTAAGTCGGCGAAATAAAGCTCCGCCATGGCCATCCCTTAGGTCCCGATCGTCAATCTAGAATCCGCGTTCTTTGAAATATAGTTTAAATAAGAGGCCGCATGCGAGGCGCGACGAAAAGAAGAGGAAAAAAAGGGGGGGAAGGCCCGTGTATATAAGTGTAGGTGGGTGGGACCGCCCGGGCGATATTTGAGCGCGAATGGCTGAAGATTGAAACTTCTTTCGGTCGGATTGGCGCGATGGCTGAGAATGCGGGGCTATAGGTGGGTGATGTCTCTCTTTATCTCTCCGGTGAGATATATAATATATAGGTGCTTCGAAGGATTTATACATGCGTATACGGTGGGGATTTGGCGCGTGTGAGGAAGAAATTGAATATTTTTGTGAAAAGAACCTCGGGCTTTTCTTTTCCTCTGGAAGCTTATCCAAGTACATACCCGAACAGGAGGACGTTGCCATTTGTTCGCGAGTAGTTTGTGGCTAAATTAATTTCACCTGGCAAATAAATCTTGGGGTCAACAAAGCTTGAGTTTTTCCATTTCTGTAGAATACCAAAGGGTTTTTTTTTTCACCCCGTTTTATCCGTACTCCTCAAAAAGGGTAAAAACTGAAAAGTTATTGATCAGTGTTATACCACAGACACGAATAATGTAAAACAACATATGGGACATGCAAGTATAGGTGTAAACTGGAACTTGAGGGAATGTGCAGCAGTGCGGAAAAGTACGCAAAAGCAGCTGATGTATACATATATATATATACGTGCTCCATGCGGAGAAAGAGACCTGCACACGGGGCGATAGCCCCCTACGCCTATCCGGCAACTTCCGGCCAAGTTGAGGCCCGAGAGCGCACAGGCGCGGGTATAAATATACACCGGCCGTAATTTTAGACCCGCGCCCAGCCGAGTTCAAGGTCAGCGGCGTCTCTGCTCCCCGTACTTTTAATTTCGAGATTTTTCGATGTTATACGTATACTCGTTACAGGCACGGCTATGCTCATATATTATGTATGATCGACGATGAATAACCGAGGGAATCGGCGCGCTGCACCATAGTCATGGGTATAGTGGGTATTCGGAGCATTGTTTATTTTAACTAGAAAACGAAAATAAATTGTTTTTACGAGGCGTCGCGCTTACCTTTGAAGTTTATATATAATTCGATTGGGTTGACGCTGCGCTTTCCTTGGATTCTGGTGTTTCACAACAACGAGTGGATTAAATAACGCGCGGTTATCAAAGGGAGGGTCGCGTCATTGCTGCGCTGTTGTACATTGACGACAGAAGGTGCATATGGGCCCTGGCAATTAAGAAATTTTGTGTGCTTATTACCTATATTGTTTCGATTTTATTCGTATATATAGGTGGAATTGTGGTTGCTGGGCAATTTGGGGAAGCGGGGACTTTTTGCAGACGTTTTTTGCAAAGCAATATTTATCGGAACCAAAACTGGTCGCTGGCAAATAGTTTTTGTAGGATGAGAACAAATATTGTCATTTATTTTACTATATAAAATAACAAAAACTGTATACAGAGGATGATACGTGTATTGTCGAAAAAAGGGGGAAACCAACTAAAAAATCCGATGCGATGCGTCTTGAATTCGCGAGGATGACGATCGAGAGAGCCGAGTGGGAACGGAGGACAGAGCAGCTGCACGGCAAAAAAAAAAAAAAAAGAAAAGAGGAGAGAAAGCCACGGGGGCCGTGGAAGTATATAAGATAAGAAAATAAGTCAGGGGAAGTGCAAGTGTTGGGCGCCTGCATGTGGGCCCATGCAAGTATGGGTACACGTTACAGTTCATCGTAGCCGCGAGCGCAAGAGGATGAGGTGGGGAGAGACGCGCGCGCGGTCTATTTATAGCGTTCTATATGTTATTCGGTTAGCTTCGGTCGCTTCTGAGATATATATCCGCAGCGGCAGGGCCGAGGGTAAGTATAATACACATTCGCCATTATTATTGTTATTGCGAGCACCTACTGCAAATATATACACACACTGCACTGAAACGGACCTTTTATTATCTTGTGGGTTTATTGTGCTTCCTCGGCAGATTAACTCGTCTAGCGCAACCTCGCGTCGCGCGATCCGGATCATTTGCTCTTCCTCTGCAGCGGCATCGACTGTTTTTTTTTCTTTTTTTTTTTTTCCATTTGAATTTGCTTTCAAGTTGATCTACGAGTGTTGCGAACGATCTTTTGTTTTTCAAGCCCAAGCAAATTTTACGGCAACCAGAGTCCAATGTAATCTCTAGTATTATTGGGTATTTTGAATGCCACTCGTTGTAATGAGGGTTTTTTTTTTTTTTTTTTTCAATACATAAAATATGTAGGTCTAAACAACCGTACCCGCGCCCGCGTGTGTGTACTTTAATGGCGAATTTTATAATACAACAAAATATTTTGAGATGCTCTCTAAATATAGCCCTCTCTGACCTCCTTGCTACGCGTGAGAGAATATGAATGAACGCGGCCCGAGTGAATCGGAGCTCCTTCTTCATTCACGTGATGCAAAATAGTAACGCGTTTTGTAATTCAAACGTTTATTTTCGTCAGCTTTCATCGTTGCCCTCCCTCTTTCTATTTTTTTTTTTTTTTTTTTTTATCTCAATCGACAACTCGGAAATAAATCAACTGCATATCGCATGGAAAACAACTTTTTTTTGTTGTCACATGCATGTGGGGGGCAAAAAAAAAGGGGGGGAAGGGTATCCGAAATTTGTTGGCAACGAGGGAAAAAACAACAATCAACCTTATTGCGCTCCAATTAACATAATGACGAGTACCGCGTGTACGTGCATACACGTAAGCCGTGCACGTAATGACCATCATAATGCGGATGGGAGGGAAAAACCGCGCGCCATACATTATAATATGTAGGCTAAAACGAGCCAATACAAAATGTACCCATTATGCACGAATGAACCGCAGCAACGGTGGAGGTGCATTATGCAAAAACTGTACAGCCACCTTTGGGGCTTTGACAGGTAAATAACAGCATACGTGTATACATGTATGCATCGACACTGTGTGTTCGAATAGTATATAGTGCGGAGGTAGGTGTATATATATATATATAAGGGCGCGTGCGTTCAAACGCCTCGCGGCAAAACGTCAAAAGCGTCAAAACAAAATTACCCGCTCGTGTGCTCGCGTACATACGAACGTGTGTGTGTGTATCTTAGGGGAGTTTCTTGCCGTACACGTGTATTTATACATCATAGCCACGTATGCGGTTCATCCCTAGCGGCGGTACAACAGCGCGGTAGCACCGGAAGCGCGCAATTCACGCGACGACGTCCCCGTGTACTCATACATATACGAAATATAAGAACAAATACAAGATTTGGCGGGGAAAAATAGAGGATGAACGAAAGGGATGAGGCTTCCTTTGCCCCTCTCTCTCTCTGCGTGCGCGAGAATATATTTTTATTCTCAACCGAAGACACGCGCGCATTCTCCGGTCAAGATTTTCGTGTGGTGAATGGTGTATATTATACACGTGTGTATGCGTGGTACTTGTACATACAGGCATTTACGTATATATATATATATATATATATATATAATATATGCAAGCACATGTACACGGGCAAGCGAGAGAGATCCATCCCGCGGCTGGTGCCATGTATACGTACAATGGCCCGCTGTGCTCGAGGCTGAGAGGCTGCACAATGAGCCCTCGAGTACAAACTGCTTATTGTCCCCCTTTACACTTTTTGCCCCTTCCTCACCTCCC